AAATGAATAGATAGATGAATAGATAAATGAATAGATAAATGAATAGATAAATGAATAGATAAATGAATAGATAAATGAATAGATAAATGAATAGATAAATGAATAGATAGATGAATGACAGTTGGAAACAAACAGAAGCTCATAGGTCAGAGCTCTGCATCATTTATAATCCAAAGAGACGTTTCTGCTCTTGGCTCACTAATGAAACATGTTCAGAGCTGCAAAATAAACTACAGCTGTGATTATCAACTGGTGGTCCGTGGGCCTTTTCAAGACCTTTTTGTGAACCTTTATGGCCAGTGGAGGTGACATAAACCTAAAAAATATATTGTGAATTTTATTATTTATCATTTTTACACTTCAGGACTGAAGAAAAGAAAACATATGACACAAGAAACACACTGGCTGTAGTTTATTCAGAAATTCATAAAAACTAGTACAGCTGAATCAGTCAGACATTTTTTCTCCTAATTCTTATTATTATGTGGTCCTAAAGGTGTTTTAAGGTAACCCTGATGGATTTGAGAGAAAATCATAGAAAGAAGTTGGATTATTTAGGGATTATTTAGGCTACAGGCTAGCACGAGCTAACATGTTTTACTTTTTGTATTAGTAGTGATGATCACATATTTACACACAGTTTATTAGTGCTGTGAGAATAAAAAACAAAACAAACAAAAAAATCTGTTATGTTTGGTGAAATTGTCAAAGAGCCACTGCAGAGGGACCACATGTGGCCCCAGAGCCGCAGGTTGCAGAGCCCTGGTCCAGTTGGATATCAGTAAGTGGTTGAATAAAAACTATATTTTTGGTAAAGAATGACTCTGCTGTACTTAAAGGACCAGACTTATAAAGTTTATCTTTAATTTAAATCTAAATTCTGACCTGAAACTCTTCATTGTGTTTAGAGTTTATAAAAACTCGTGCAGAGCTTCTCTTTGAGCTCGTTGCTTTCAGCACCTGAGCTGTGCTCTTCTCAGATGTACTGCTGCTGTAAACACTGGAGTGTTGTTTATTTTGGTAATAATCCAGACTTTGTAAATGTTTTTTATTTTCTGTTTCAGGGTGGAGTTCCAGAACAAGTTCTACTCAGGCCAGGGCTTCAAGTTTGTCCCGTTCTCCTTTGAGAGCATCATGGAGGGCCGATTTGATGACTGATCAGGTCCAGCTTTGGCTCCAGGAAAACATCAGTGTCCAGCCTTTGTGTGTCTGTGTGTGTTTGTGTTGTGTGTGTGTTGTGTGCATGAAGCCTGGTGCAGCCCTCTGTCGCCCTCTAGTGCTGTTCTGTCAATGAGCTCAGCGAACAAAGATGGAAACTGGAAAATTATTTTACAAGGTCACATCACCATTGCTCGTTACATTTATCGGTGTTTGTGTTCTCTATCAGGTTTATTTGTCCTGATGAAAACATCTAGATTATTTATTTTTGGTGTTAAAATAATTAAATAGGTTTTAAAGAAGTGTTACAATCAGTGTTTGTGTAAGTCATGATGAACAATGAAAGATTTGACGAATGTGTTGAAGGGCTCGTTTGGAATGAAAAATAAAAATAAAATCCTTTGTGTCATATCAAGTTTTACAAACACTCAAACATGTCTTTTGGCCCTTGTTGTACACTGTACTTTGATGTTTTTGTGTCATTATTTGGAGCGTTGTTGGTTCCTGTGTGTCAGTTAAGAGAGTGTTGATGTGAAAAACAAACTATAAATCATAAAGTGATATTAGTGATCTGTGATCTGAAAACTGTTCTGGTCAGTAATAAATAATAAAGTGTTATCTGTGGCTTCATGTGTGTCCTGTCTTTGTAAAGGTTGGTTGTTGGTCAGTGCTGGGGAGGACATGACTGAGAGTTTAGGGTTTACACAATGATGGGAGGCAGCAGCTTCAGCAGGGAGCTCCACACCTGATCAAACACAACCACCTCCTCCAGCTCCTCAGGTGCTCCCACACCAGCAGAGACATAGAGTCCAGTGTGTCCTGGGTCTTCCTCAGGGTCTCCTCCCAGTTGGACATGGCTGAAGCACCTCCATAGGGAGGAGTCCAGGAGGCATCCTAACCAGATGAACCTCCTCCAGCTCCTCAGGTGCTCCCAGACCAGCAGAGACGTAGAGTCCAGTGTGTCCTGGGTCTTCCTCTGGGTCTCCTCCCAGTTGGACATGGCTGAAGCACCTCCATAGGGAGGAGTCCAGGAGGCATCCTAACCAGATGAACCTCCTCCAGCTCCTCAGGTGCTCCCAGACCAGCAGAGACGTAGAGTCCAGTGTGTCCTGGGTCTTCCTCTGGGTCTCCTCCCAGTTGGACATGGCTGAAGCACCTCCATAGGGAGGAGTCCAGGAGGCATCCTAACCAGATGAACCTCCTCCAGCTCCTCTGGACGTGGAGGAGCAGCTGAACCTCTCAGCCTCTCTCTAGGCTGCTTGTATGTCAGGTTCTGTTGGTCACGACCCAAACTTCATGACCACAGGTATCTGTCAAACCCAACCAAGGCCAGCGGGCCACATCTGGCCCCAAAGATAAAACTTTAAATGTGAAATAGTTTTATAGTTTTTCTTTTGTCTGTATTTAGTGCATTCTTCTCTTGACAGATGGACAGCTTTTCAAGCTGAAAAATAAAGTTTGAACTTTTCAGTAATCTTTGATTTTGTTGGGGAAAGTCAATCAACTAATGATTATTTTTCTGCTTCCTCATTTTAACATGACAGATTTTTAGTGAGTGGTTTTTTACCTGATGTGCTGGATTGTGATAAAATGTATTTTTAAAATATCTCAAATTTACAAATTGCTGTTAAATTGTTTGATTGTTGTAAAGCATAAGAATTGATGCTAATGGGACTTTTAATCTCATTTTTTATTTGTCGTGTTATGAACGTTTGGCCTCTGGAGCCAGGCCTGGAGGTGAGGCACGATGGCGAGCGCCTGGTGGCCGGG